TAGGCGCGGCTGGCGTCGATGATGGAGCTGTAAAAAAATAGGGGCATACAGTTGCACAGCCTTTTTCAAATATTGTATTGGTAATCGCGGTATCGCTGTCGCCCGTTCAACATGGTTCTGCTTTGGTTCTCAAGTTGGTTCTGCTCTCTTGACCAATTTGTGCCCAAAAAAATCCGCTTCACGAACGCAGATGGCTCTGAATTCCAGTGTTGACAAAGCCCTTAATATCAAGGCTTATGTAAGATGGACTGTTGCCGCGGAGTGATGCGAGGTCGATGCGGTGTGGCTCGATCAAGCGAGCTGATGCGAGTTCTACAGTTGGGTGCCATCATTCCCAAGATGCTCAATTGGAATGCTACAATCGGAATCCCTTCCCGGAGGCCATTAAGGGTTCATATAAGGCCCCAGCATGCGCTGATTTTCAAAAGACCTCTTGGAAACAATCAAATAAATATTCACGGGATGTATAGGACCAAACCATCGAGTGCTCGCTACTTGGTCTGTTCAGCCCATAAAAATGACAGAGCTGGGCAATATATCCGCCCACTAGAATGAATTACAGGTGCCAGTTTTTTCAGGGTTATTTGAATGGCCTCAATATCAAGGCCCTGACGAAAAAACCCAACCCCTTACATAAATCACCAGTGAATTCTCATGTCAACAAGTCCGGATCCGCACATGCGATCGCAAAATGATAGCAAAACTCCGTTTTGGCGGTCTAAGCTCCCGAAATCTCTCTGTTGCACGGATTTCGTTGCACTGACGCACCTCAACGTGGTTTCTCTCCCTTGCACCATCCATCGACGTCTACCTGCCATTTTTATTTTTGCTTGGGACGCGCAAACGGGCCGAACACCGACATCAAATCAGAGTCCATCGAGGTTCCTGATACCGACTAGGAACCAGGTCTCAAACACGAAATACGACAGAGCCCTGATCATGACGGTGTTCGGTCCGAGGTAGTCTTGTTACCGATGGGGTCAGAGTCTTATTACATAAACAGCGGAGTTTCAATTTCGATGTGAGCGCCGGCTCAGACTCAACTTGTCTTTGCATAAATTGAGTGTTCAGAATGAACCCTGCATCCATTCCTGTGCATTCTGTCTCCTCAGAATGTCGAAAACCGAGCGTGAATCGTGGTTTCAAGGGACCGCCGATAGCCCCATGATCCATCGGCCGACGTAAATAAAATATTCTCCCAATGGACACTGAAAAGATCTGGGATATTGCCATGACCAAGTCATAGGTCAGGAATACCCATTGAGAGGGCTATCTGGGGGGAAGGGTGAGTTTTATTGTCGACGAGCGTCTTTACTTGGGAAAGTTTCTGTAATAAGATTCTGCCCCGATCGGACACCCACGGTAACTAACAGACTTCAACAAACCGAGGTACGAGGTCGATCTTGTTGAAGCATCTGTCTACGAGAGACTAGGTCCGAGGGTCCATAAAATTAGGGGGCTGCATGGACTAACAGTAAACATCACCTCTGGTTTGTGAGTAAATCGAAAATCGCCGGGCCTCATGTACATTGAGGGTTCGAACCTCGGCTAAGCTGTTCATTTGGAGGGTTCTAGTGGGTATCACATAATTAAATTACGGCTGAGTCCCACACTGTTTGGCTTCTGCCATTCGTGTGTAAAAGTATTCCCATCTTTGGTGTAGGGGTTTATATATTGTCCCCTGCTTCTTTGCGGACCTGACAGTGAAAGTGTTGCTCAGGTTCAACAGTCTAAATATGCAACTGCCAAAACCCCCCCTATTGAACAACTGATTTACACCTAAGTGAGATTAAGCACGACTAAACTGACAATAGACAGATTCCAACACAAACACACTCGCTTGATGACTGTGATGCACTGACGAGATTCAGGTCTTTTTGGACACAAGTATAGGTCCAAGAAAACCACGAGTAAACATATTTGTCACGAAAGTATTCAATTCCTGTTCCCCCAAGGGTGGCAAAGTCTCAACTAGTTTCTTGAGGTGGTGTTCAAGACACAACCTGAATTTATTGGTTGGTTCCCAACGTGGATTTAAGTTTCCCAACTAAGCAAAGATAACGGCTCTAGAAGGGCTTGTTTTTGTGGACTATTAATCTGGTGAGCTGTTTAGACCCAGTTGCTTGGATCACCCCCTATTCCACTGACTTTGGCTCGCACCTCAAACTTGCTTGGCTCGCGCCCCATAACTATGGCTCACACCTCCAAACACACACAATGACTCACGCCTCAAACTTGATATGGCTCACACCCTGTAACTAGCACTTACGAATCCCACTGATGTTATTCCAAAACCGAACTTAAATTCTGAGACTAATTGACAGCCAAAGATTCAAGCCTAACTTCAACTTCATGCGCAAGGGCTATATTGCTCCTCACTTTCAGGGGACTAGTTCAGTGCCGTGCTCCCTAGTTCTGCCCTCCTTATATACTGCACAAAAACTATTACATGTGCATGATTACTAGGCTTTCAGGTATTCTACTTAATTAATTAGTCTGAAATTGGTATCAGCTGTGCATGTTCTGGCATTCCTATTTGCTACTTGGGCCCTCCTATATGTCCGTATAATGACTCCCCTTGACTCCTTGCTGATCAGGGGATTATATGTGTAATTAGTCCCCTGAATAGGATAATTGACCTATATCTTCCTCTCTAGCAGATGCCTCGACTTCTAGTATTGTTGACTGGATTGTATGGTTTAATATCTTTCCAATGACACCCCAGATGCCCTTAATCGGTATCCAGAAACATGCAGTACAAGCTTAACTGGTCTATGGCTTATCGGGTGATCACGCTTTCACGGATCCGGTGTATAGGAATAGCAATTGTAGGTCCAGGCCTTGATCAGGTGACCCATCGTGTTGCGTCGGGTAAGCCAAACCCGTGTAAACAACTAGGTGTTTCCCTCCTGAATAAGGCTCCCAGCGTGCCAATAAATGCCAGAGGTGAATAATATGATTCTCCCTTTGATAGTGAGCATTGCTTTTGCCTTCCCACGTATAGAGGGTGTTTCAGGACGTTGATGTATGGGCTTTGAGCCTTAATCTGGATTCGGCCCCAAGTGACCCCAAGGGTGCCGTGTCCAGGAATAAGCTGTTGTTGCCAGTTTAGGATGATAATACAATATGGCTCTTGGTTGCATGTTTGGAGCTCACACCAACCACTGGATGAGCACAGAATGTCATGCATTCGTAAAATTTGAGGTTTCACAAATTTCACGGCTTATCAACAGGCTAACTAATTGTTAGTTGCTGAGGGTCATAACAAATGCACCACCAAAAAAAAAAAAAAATTAAATAAATAAGTTCCTGGTACTGACTTAGGAACCTCACAAAATAAATAAATAATTTAAGAACTGCGACTCAATGACTCTCCTCTTCGTTGATGTGGCCCCCTGAGTGTCCCTCACGCTTGTTTCCATCTTACTGACTCCGCGAGGATTCCTCTGCTCATTCTGCTCAAAATATCTATCTCCTCCGAAACACCCGTCTCCGTGATGCAAGATTACTCTGCTCATTATTCTCACACTGGTCAATCATCTTTCATCACCTCCGTAAGGTCGATCTGAACTTTGCTGAGGGCCACTGGTGAAGACCATTCCCATCCCAAAATCTGCCAAAGCTGGTAAAAGTCCGTGTCCAAAATTGTTATTATCTGAGGTTTCCATGGGTGTTGTCAGCGTATCTGTCGACAACCTAAACAAGGGCTACAAATATATTCTGTTAATGTGGGAAACTCAGCACAGTGGATTGAGGTTACCTGTGGTCAAACTCGTAACTTGGTCGACCAATACCAAAGACTGCTCTGCAAGACCTTGCTGCTCTTCATGGATTAGGTTCCCCCACTCGAAAGAATGCAGCCCAAACTTATCTCTCAAATCACGAATGCAACACTAGATGCAGAGCAGATATTTTCGTCACATTCTGTTTTTTGTCTACTTGATGGCAACTGGAACCTGCTCAAGATCTATCTTCCTAATGAGTCAGCTGAACCTTTGGATGAAGCGAGCAATCAGCAAGCACATATACTCTGAGCTCTTTTTTTCTTTTTTTTCTTTTGTCGAGTGCAGAAGCACATCCGAAATGGCACGTGTCGCTTCCCTTGGAACATCTAAAGTGAACACTGGTGTCTCAACCTGCATGGCATGAGGCTGGCCAGACAATCTGAGTGTATGTGGTGAGGTCGGCCTTGGTTGATTCGTTGTCAAGGCATGATTTTTATTGAGGAGTATGGATTTAAGCTTGCCAATGGTAATTTTGGAGGGATGTAACTTCTCCGACCATTTGACCTGCTCTGCCCGGCCTAAATGTATGCATATTTCACTGCTACAATTCAGGGCAGAGCTAATGGGCAAGTATCCTAGGTGACAAAGAGTTGGGTTGGACAATCCGGGCCGTATTTTTATCTACTTCAGACTACATTTTTTTTCCATTCTGAACGAGCCTGGGTGCACCATGATGTCCTCCGTGAATTTGGACAACCACTGGGACCACAGTAGCTCCTAGAGCCGTGTTCCATTGTGGGAATATGCCAAGCAAGGCAAACAAGGTAAACAAATAATTTTAATATCAGAGTTAATCTTCAGATTAATTTTTTCCGTTGAGCCTTGGAGACTCAGAAAATTGTTGGCCAAGACATTAATAGGGCACCCACAATGCATTTTCAGAGTCTGAAACTGAATATTAGTGTCCGGAGCATAGTTGATTCTGAGTATACATGCACAGCCTCAGTTCAACACCTTTTGATATACTTGTTGGTCACGTTCATTACTGTTCGGATGGTATCAAGGATGTGACCTCATGGATCTAGTGCTGTACAAAGGTACAGGGGGTGCACAGAGGGTTGAATTAAAGAACATAAAGTCGTGAAATCAAAATGGTGAGTCGTATTGGAATGATTCCATCGCAAAAAATCGTTCCGGTTCGAACATATGACATTGAGATAATAGGGATCCTTTACAGTCTCGCACTCTACAAACTGGGCTAAAGAAGGCTAAAACGGGTCGTGCTTGGAATCAAACTGGGGTTACCAGAACTCAAGGCATTCAAGCAAGTCATCAGAATCTGGAGTGCTAACCCCTACACCACACAACCAATAGACGTGGGCTTGAAGCGGCTAAGCCTGCACTTTTCCACCTTGGCTCTGATGTTAGCTGCCCAAAGCCATCTATCAACTGCCCGAAGTGCAGCGTCCTCACCCAACTGTGCACTGGATACATTGCCAATTGGGCTGAACATGTATGTGTCTCGCCCCCTCCCCCACCTGCACGCCATGCCTCGTCCCCGAGACCATTTCTCATTCCTCCTCACCCTCCCACCACCGCCACCTTTTCTAGCTCATCCAGGCGATAGGCACCACACATCTTCTCCTCTCAGCGAAGGGTGATGTGAAACCGGTTCCAGACTTTGCGCGAGAGCATGGGCCCTGGCCCGTACCTCACTTTACTTTTATTTTACTGATTCATTCATAACTAGTTAGTGTACTTCCATGGATTGCTTTTGCCAGAGCTGAAGTTCTTAAGCAACACTTATGTAAGTTGCGAGGGACTTCGGTTCGAGTTCTGTAGAACTAAAGTCTTTGGTGAACTTAAGAACCAGGCAGCATTTCAGTTGCGCGGGACTTGAGTTCCTGTTCCTTTAGATATGATACTTATGTAAATAACCTTTTTTCGAACTTAAGATGTGCAAACTTGAGTTCTAATGTACGGCCATCAGGGTGTATGTCTGACCGGTATATGCGACATCTACAGGCTCTATAGGACTTAAGATGTTTGGGAGCTTGAGTTCGCAAACCGCCTGGAACTCGAGAGGAGCTGATAAAGTATTTGCATGGGGATCGAAGAGCGGTTACCCGTATAACAGAACCGTGATGAAAGTGACACAGCCAAACCGAGCAAATATAAGAGCCGGTTCACAATAAGGTGGTACACGGCATACAAATATATCGAATGAAACAAAGACAATAACGATAGTAATGAACTGGTCATCTCTTCTCCAGCAACAAACGGTCGGATCTCACTTCAAGACTTCATCTTCCCCAGCCTGCGAATGGCAATCTCGACCGAGACCAGCTCAAGCGCCGTCAGCCCCTCGCGCCCGTGCCCTTTCCTCTCACTCGGTTCATTCTCATCCTCGTCCTTCACAGGATCTTCCTCCTCGTCCTCCACGAGCAGCACACGCTCCAGCGTCTCCCTCAGCACCGCCTTATCCCAAGCGCCCATCGTGCGCATCGTGCCGACGTTCCAGAGCCCGCGCGCATGAAGAGCGGCGTGTGGTGTGAGAGGTCGAGGCCCATTATGTCGCGGAGGAAGGCGCGCAGGTCGGTCGGCAGCTGTGGAGGTAATGCCGCCGGGGGCAGCTGGAGGAACATCTTCGTTGGGGCCGGCGGCGGGAGGTCTGCAGGATGTGTGTATGTTGAGCTGGACGGCTTGGAGGGTGTGCGACTCTATGTGTTCAACTTTGAGTGACAAAGTTGAAGTGGGAATGGAGACTGACGGATGCGGCGTATCTTCGATGAGTGGTTTGGGAAGTCTGGATGATTCCATCAAGCCCATGGAAAGAAAAATGATAATTGGGGGGCCCGACTCACCGATGCATCAGAATTTCGACGGGCAGATTGGGGTGTCTGCATGGTGTGCGAGTCAGCACATGTTCATTCGGAATACCGACAGAAAGTGAGAATTGGAAGTAACACTGACCGATTCAGATGCAATAGAATATCGACGGGAAATATGGGTGGTCTGCATGAAGCGATTGAGCAGCAATTCATTGGATCCACAGAAAGGAGGTGGGAGTTGGAGCAAATACCAACCGATGCAGTGGAATTTCGACCGGCGGATTGGGTGGTCTGCAACAAAACTTCAATAGATGTAAAAAATGATAATTGGAAAGGCGACCGACCGATGTAGCAGAATTTCGACGGGCAGTTTGAGTGATCTGCGTGGTGTGAGTAGATACATGTTCGTTCGGGAAGGATCTGAACGGAAACTGACCTGTGAGTGTGTACTTTCAGGGATAGGATCGTATCGAGGCTTTTTAGCGGTGTGGAATATCGACTGGAAGCGGGATGAGGCGCGGCTGAAACAGAGAAACGAATAGGCATTAGTACCTGGTCTGTTTCGTTAGTATCGGACCGCGGCCGCTTTTTTAAGGGAAAGGATGTAGAGGGCTGGTACTGAGATGGGGAGATGGGATCAGATTTAAATGGTGCGGCCGACGGATGTTGATATGGGCCCACGTCTGAATCTTCGTCTGACGCGCTCAGCAATTTGGTATGGGCCGGAGAGAAGGACGAGGACGTGGGTTAGCCATGCTGATTGATCGCGGGAGAAGCGGGGCTTGGATGGGCCGCACACCTCATCGGATTCGTCAGAGTCGATGGAGCTCAACTCAGACTCATCATCACAGGAACCATCGATCTGACAAGATAAGTGTTTCAGTGGGGCAATACAGGAACCTTGTCGTTCACGTACCAGGGACGGGGGAGTTTCTCTTTGGGGCTCAACTCTAATTCATCATCGCTAGAGCCATCAACTCGGCGAGACAGATTTGTAGCGACGCAATACAGAAATGGTGCCGCTCACGTAGCAGAAACAGGGGAGTTTTCTCTTTAGGGCTCAACTCTGATTCATGATCGCTGGAGCTATCAACCTAACGAGGCAGATTTTCTAGCGACCCAATACAGAAATGTTGACGTACTAGAAACGGGGGAAATTTATTTATTTTTGAATTCTGGGTCGACATAGTCATAATCTTCGAGCGTTTATCCCGGGGCTGGTACGTGCTGCTGATGGCCTTTCCGACCGCCCTGTCGGTTTGCAGGTCGAAAATCCTAGTGGAGAAGCCCCAATCCTCCCTGTTGCGAACGATTCTGAAAATGGCACGCCCTTTCCGATTAAGCGCTCCTTCCCTAGAACAGTCATTCCGGCGCCGCGAGGAGGGCACAGCATCTCGCACTTACCACGGTTGCACGCTGATTACCCTAGTCACTGGCTCGTCATTTTGAAATGAGAGCAAAGAGGATTGTCCCGCTCGGCCTTGTCGCTAGTCTCGCTTTCGGATCCGGATGCGATCTTCGCTCATGGACGTAAGGAAGAAAATGCGGTGCCGCTGATTTGGTGTTGTGTCTACGATCACCCGGCCCGGGTTCCGAGTCTCTGTATTCTACCATGTCTCAGCCTCAGGTTGGGCCGTTCATCGTCTTTGGCTACGGCTCGCTGATATTCAAGGTATATTTTAATCATCTAATGGAAGCACGTAGAGATCAATGCCATCGCAATTTAGCCCCCACCCAATGTGGTCGCGCAAGGTGAGCGCCTTAACACTTATCGCTTCGAAAATCGCTCGGCTTACGAGGAGGAAGTCCCAGGATTTTTGAAAGGGTATGTGAGGCGATTTGCCCAGAAATCGCACGACCATCGCGGAACGCCCGAGGTGAGGTGCCCGACCGTGGCCTTGGAAACGCTGACAGGGTGTTGCGGCCGGGAAGAATCCTGGACGGGTTGTTACACTGGTGCACAAGGAAGTAAGCCGAAAAGTCCTTCGAAATGTTCGAACTTAGATAGATCAAGGACTGGGATCTCTTCTCTAGTGCTGTTCGTATTTTTCCTCGTTGTTTCTGTTTTGCCCAATAACATTATTGAATATGACAGGATGCATTTCCCGATGATGATATCGTTTGGGGTGAGATCCGTTGTTTTGGGCGTATCCAGTACTCAGGGCATCTGCTCCAGGCATCGCATACACCATCGATCCGGATTTTGAAGCGGACGTGCGCGCCTACCTCGGTCAATTTCTCTTGCCATATCATAAATGATAATTTGGGCTAACGCATCGTGGTAGACTACCGTGAAAAGGTTCTTTCCTACCCGAAGATGATGGACGTGTCAAGGACTCCCTCATTTAGGACGGTTACACGATGGAGATCATGCCCATCTACGGCGTTGTGGACGGCGCAGAGACCGTCATCATCCCAAATGTGTGTCTTCATCTCTTATCTACACCCCATCATTCAACCCTCGTCCGCGCCAGGCATATGTACGTTGGTCGGCTCCCTCCACTCTATGTACGGATAATTCGGATGTCCTTCAGTGCTACGTCGGCCGCAAAGATAACCCCTCCTTCAGTAAGCGTTGACTTACAATTATACACTTACGCATTCATCGATGAATATTCCGAATCCCAGTCGGCTCGGAGCCGCTTCCTTCCCTCGCTCAGCGAATATGGGTCTCGCGCGGACCATCAGGGCCGAACAAGGTTTCCCTTGCCTCTCCGTATTTTATTTCCTTGCGACCCATCGAGCCCAGGAATATTTGTACAAACTCGCGGATGCTGTGCGCACCTTGTCTCCCGACTCCTACGATAAGCATTTATTTGCGCTCGAGGTCTGTCTGCCTGATTTCCATTCAATGGAGTTTCGCTCACAGGCGAGCATTTGCAGGAGTTGGTCAGAGCCTTGGATTTCGCGGCTAGAGGTGAATGATGTCAGTGGGCGGTGTCTTCGCAGGATGTGGCGCGTCAGCGCAGGTTGGCGCATGTGGAATGCGAAGGGAAGGTGCTATGCTGTTGTAGATCTTTTCGTCAAGAAATGAATCATGGATAGGACCTGGGATTTACCGGTGGCCAGTCGGGCCAATCACTTTCATTCAATAGTGTTGTGACCTCATGACATAGTGAACAATTCCTGTATTTCTTCGACACCGCCCCAGTCTAAGAATGATGAGGGATTCGAATGTCAAACGAGTCTAATTCCGGGGATGAAATTACATTGGCATATTACGGTCATCACGGTCAAATACACCCGAGGTTGGGTCTCGTATTTCGTGGCATTTTACACCCACGACGAAGCGAGATCGGATGATCGTGATTTATATCGTAAAGGAGATACATGTTCCTCGGTAGTTCAGAATGATTGGTTCAATTCGACAGAAGATCGGTCACTAGGTTCGCTTGAAAACAATTAGACTCGGGCACATTGAACGTAGGTAATAATATATACAACACAAAGAATCCAGGACGAAGTAATTTCCTCGTCCCAACGTCCCACGAAATATCACCTGAAACAGAATAATATCTCTGATCCAATGAGCAATGAC